CACCGCCCCGTTTCCCAGGTAGCATCGCGCGCATCGCCCACGGCGCCCTCCTCCTCCAGAGCCCGCTTGCGACCCGAAACGCCGCCGCGACCTGGGAATCCCAGCCCTCGACCCCGCCCTCGGAAGCTGCACGAAAACTACAATTCGGTCTGGGATTCGAGTGTCCTCGGTGCTGTAGGAGGTGAGTTGGCTGCGAACTGAGAGACCACCCGTAAGTTTCCTCATACCCGTGTGATTAGCACCCACAGTGACACCCCAGCTAGCTGAGCAGTGAGACAAACGGACAAGATTCTTGAAAGCCGGGACGCTTGATTGGAGTTTTTATAATCTGTGTGTAGCCCCACATATCACTGTGGTACATTTCCCCGCCACACCCCCAGTTGAAGGAGAGTGCTCTAATATTACTCTGAGGATATAGCTACTATCTTAAGCCCACCTGCGAAGCCAGATAGAGTAGAAATTAATACAGCCTTATGCTCCAGTGCTAGGTTTCGGAGCTAAAAATGGAACAAGACAAGGTCTTTGCCCTCAGCCGGCCTTTTGGTCTTCCTCTTCCTATTATGACTTAGAAGGGGTGTGACTACTGATTTTGTGTCAGGACTGATTTTAAATATTACATATTGTTCTCACAATCTTTTGAGTTTGCTAAGGTTCCATTTTCCAGAAGAAATCATATAGTAAGAAGTAGAATCAGGATTTGAATAAACATTGATCTTTCAGTCTTTCGAGCTCTTGACTGTTTCAGGCAAACCTCAAAGTTTCTTCTTCAATTGAACTGTGTGTATCTAGAAGTGAGAAAGAAGGAAGTAATTCTCCCTCATGTGGTGAGAACACTCACCATTTGCCCTGGAGTCTTATTTTACGGGTTATCAGACATTAAAGAATGCAGAAAGTTTGTTTAAGAGAGAAAAAAATACTTTAACACAGCATGGTTAGCACTGAATGAATGTCAGCTAAATATTTGTATACATATAGATGTAAAGGTCTGAAGCCCATTTTAAAGTCCATTGCTCTTTTCCACTCAATGCTAGGATTCTGGGGATGACTTTGCATTTACATCGCCACTGATTCCCCCAGCCCTGGTCTGCAGCAAGTTCAAGATGTCCATACATTGTCATGTTTTCTTCAGTCATCTTAAAGATATTTCTCCTAAATCTCTTGTTTTTCCATGACTTCCTTCTATAAGTTGACAGATTTTGTCTTTTATATCAGTCATGTCCCAACCAGCACCTTAGAGGAGATGGGGTGATATAGTATAAAAGCTGTTAACAGCTGGTAACTCTAGGGAAGAGTATATGAGTGTTTGTTGTACTATGTTTCAACTTTTTGTGTTTTTGAAATGTTTTGGAATAAAAAGTTGAGAGTGAATGAGAGAACATAAACTAGAGAGACACACCCGGTTTTTAAAACCAAATTCTGCCCTTCACTAGTTGCGATTCTTGGCAAGTTTTCTAACCTCTCTCAGCCAAGTTTCTGCCTCTGTGAAATGTGGATGATAAAGTATCTCTCTCATAAGTTGTTATGAGAATGAAATAAGACAATGTATATAAAGTGCCTAGCTAGGTGCCTGGCAACTGGACAGCAGGCAGTTGTCATTTTCCAACTACCTCAGATTTGTAGGGCTGTGGTAAACATTCTTGTTTCCTGCTTCCCACCTCCAACCACTCAAGCCTCCAAGCCTCTTTAGCCAAATGCAAATATCTGGCAGTTATTTTCAAGGCCTTATGATAACATTGATGTCCTGCCTCAAGCTTCATTTCAATCATATTGCCCTCCCAAAAGCACTCCTTTCTACCATTTGACCAAACTCCCAGCCTTATGGCCAAATTGCTCTCCAATCAGGGCCCAGTTCGTCACCTGTCCCTTCCTACCACCTTTCTTCAAATTGTATCCACGAACCTGCCATACTGCCCCCAAACTCATAGCCTTAGATATAGAGTTACACAACTTGTGGATGGTCTACTCATCTGAGAACTATTCAAACCAAAGCATCACTTACGTAACACCAGAAGTGTTCCTAGCAGGACACCATTGTACTGTTTTCACTGGTTCGCTACTTTCTTCGTGTGATATTTTCCAGTCAGACTGTACTATGGCCCTTCTTACTGTTAATTTGCAGAATAACAAATGTTCCAATCCCCTCTTTTCATACCTACTGTTAAACTTCCCTTCTTCAGACTCTCGCGTCACATTATGCCTCTTTTACCTGCCCCTTCTGATCATCCTAAACATTTCACCATTTCTGAACTTGTCCTGGCCTTCAAGCTGATCAGCCTTTTCACATTGTTATTCCTTCTGTATGGAATACCCTTCACTGTTTTCAGCTAACAAATTCTCCCATTTCTGCACTCCAGTCACCTGTTTAGAAAGGTTTTCCTGTTCTACACTTCAAGTTATTCATTTCTTCCCTGTGTTCCCACCATGTTTGATACATACCTCTCCCTCCCTAGACTCTGAGCTCTTGAAGGACAGGAATTGTGTCTTGTTCATGTTTATGCCCCTAGCACCCAACCTGTTGCCGGGCTTGTGGTAGGCCTTGACAAATATTTCTTGAATGAATGAATGAATGAATGAATGTCTTTGCATTCATTTTCAGGTCATCTTTATGTATAATAATGGCCCAGCAGGGACTTTCTTTGGAGCCCAGAGCTAGGCATTGAGAAAGTGTTTGGGTTCTCCATTTGTGAGTCACGATAGTGACTGAAACTGTGCTTATTTTACAGGAGACTCTCTTCCAGCCCGACATTTCCAGTGTGCTTTCAAGTGTGAAATCATATTGTTTGGCATATGTTACCTAATTGTGCATGGGAATTAGTCTAACTTCCCAATGGGACAGTGTAGAGTATGGCCCAACACCTTACCAATAACTGCTCTCATGTCCACCCAGGAGCACCATCCTTTAATCCTCCTCTTAACACACCAGGGCATATCACAGAAGCATATTCATCAGCTTGGCAGGGTTACTAAGGGTGAAGGTCTGTCACCTGATGTTCACCTTGCCGCTGGAACTAAGAACCAACAGAGTACTCAACAAACAGGTGCTATCTGGCTTAGTTTCACCTCAATATGTGCCTAGGTTTCTTGCAGCTGCCTGATTGTCACACGTGCCTGGCCCAGGGGAGCTGGGTAAAATGGAAATGCACCTGCTGGTGATGTTCTCACTTGGAAGTACAATGAAACTGCCCAGGAGACAGATGTCTATGCTTGAGTCTAAACTGTGTCATGACTTAGAAGACTAAATGGTGGCAATTAAGAGCATCTGGGTTCCAAATATTATTTTAATAAAATTTGACTTATCTGACATTGGACATTATGTAATCTTTCCCCTTAGTTTCTCTACTTATAAAATAGAGACAGTGATAGAACATCCTTATAAGTTATTGTGAGAATTTAATTGGATGATGTTTTTAAAGTGCTTAGCACGAGCTTGAGCAAAATAGAGACTCGATAAATGAAAGCTTATTATAATTATTGTTATTATTAGATATTTTGACCTTTCTGCAAATATAGAGTTTCTATGTCACAATGGCCAGCTGGTCAGCATCCTAAGTTGGCCTCTGAAATCAGATGTCAAGGGAAGGGCAAGGCTTTATTCTGCCAAGCCTCTCTCCTCACTCGTTATGCTATGTGACATAAATCTCATCCTCTGTACAACACTGAAACTTCACAAGTCATTTCTTAATATTTCTTTGGGTTCCAGAATTTGCTAAGCAATGAATTCCTTCTTAAAACATTAAAGCTGAACTGGTCCCCCAACATCATCTCATCCAACCCACTAATTTACAGACTGCTAAGGATAATGAGCCCTAAAAAGGGGATGAGTCATGCCTAATGTCACACATTTAGGGGATGGCCTCTTTGTATCACCAGTGCTTGTTGGTAATCAATACACTTTAAAAAACATATTTGTGAATGTATAAATTGACAAATGAATGAATAAAGAATGAGCCACCTAGCAGAAGTGCTTGGAACACAAGAGGTTTTCAATAAATACTTCTTTCCCTCCCTCGCTCTGGAGGGTAGCAGCCATATCTACAATCCCTGTGCCTAGTACTTGATAGGCCGTAATGAGTGTGTGTAGGTGAGATGAGTGACTCTCAAGAGCACTAAGCCTTTGAGGCCATGGGGAAATGTGTGTCTTTTCAGCCACAAGCAGAGGCTGGTGCTCTGAGCTTTCCTTGGACAGGGCTTCCCTCCATTGTAGGGTGAGGGCCACCTATCTTTCAAGCCAACTCTGGCCCAGTAGTTATGCAGACTCAGTTTCAGGCCCAGCGCATGCACCAGGTGAGAGCAGTGACAAATCCTTCAAATGTAGAATAGCCAGCGATGGGAATATGGCCACCAGTAAGCAAAGAATGTACTCCACCCAGTCAGACCCAACTTAATTCCATTCCTCCATGTCACCTCTTTATCTGTCTTCTTGGGGCTTCAAATCTCAGTCTCCTGTCTGATGAGTGAGTAAATGAGTGTCTAGAAGAGTGCCTGACATATGGTAGGTGCTCAATAAATATTGGTGGAATGAGTAAATGAATAAATGAAAACAGGACTGAAGGAAGAGACGGGCTGAGTGATGTGTGTCTATTTATTGGCACAGGGTCCTACAGGGCCAAGACCACTCCCTCCCCACCCTCTTCCTGTAAAAATAAACTCTGTCCTTCCCTCTCCCTGCTCTGTTTCCCAACTTGGTCCAAGGAGACTCAGTCACTCCCTAAGATGTGTGCCCCAAGACATAGGTACTAGCATCCCCTATACATACACATTTCCCCTCTGAGCCCAGGGAAATCAGGAGGCAGCAGGAAGGCTTGTAAAGGCCCACAGGCTTCCACTAAGAGATGAGCACAGTTGGTCTGTCAGTGAGGGTTGGTAGTATGAGAAGCAGCAGCATGAGGAGCATGGGGTGGAAGGCAGCCCCTGAGGGGGTTGCTCAAAGAAGCTGAGTCCACTCCCAAGTAAGCACTATATGAGCCTCCAGGAGAAGCATGGGAGGCACACCACACAGGCCCTGCATGGTCAGAGTATGGCAGGCACAGCAGGCCTCATGGCCACCAAGCCAAGTAAGCTTAGGACCACAGAGGCTAACTCCTTCCTGTGGGAGCTGGTGCCCCCCCACCACTGCCCAGGCCTCCTCCAGGCAAAGTGACATGGAAGGATGTCACAGTGAATAGTGGGGGCTCTGCTAGAGGCAAGGGCACCCCCAAAGCAGAGGCACGATGTGGTGGTTGAGCAGGGACTGGGACTCATGTCACCTGTTGTGTAGAGGGGCTGGACCCAGCCTAGTTGGCATTTGCCTTCTCCAAACTCCAGAGCAAACAGCTTTGCTGGGCAAGCTGCCCCATGCCCTAGCAGCTGCTGGCCATTTCTCCCCATACCCAAGTCTACCACACTTCACACAGCTGTCCTGGGTTCATGGGGGAGCCGACAGGGCAGCCGAAGTGCCTCAGGAAGTCACGGGAGTTGGAGAGAGTGCCCAGCACACGGAAGCGGGCAGGGCTGTGGGGATCGGTCACCAGCCCCTCATGAGAGCTCTCGGGTGTGCGGACTGAGCACCACACCTGCGGACCAGGACAGACACGGGGACATGTGGTGTCTAGTGCAGGCAGGGCCACAGACTTGGTTGCAGCAGAGCCATCCCAGGAACACAAACCACCACTGCCCTGCCCCTGAGCTCAGGAGGCCTCAGGGACACAGGCAGGTACTCAGCCAGCATCTCAGCCCTGACCCCTTGCTGTCAGCACTAAGGGAGGGGACCGCACCCTCCCTCCAAAATTCCTTGAAGGCCTTTCAAAGCTGCCCTGGAAATGGGGTTGCCCAGGATAGATGTATCTGAGGGGAAGAAGCCCAGTCCCTAGGCTGCCTGCTGTAGTGCAAAGTACCTGGAGGAGACCCTGCCTGAGTCACCCTCTGTCACTTACTTTATTCTGGAGTAGCCCTGGACCAGCTACTTTGTTTCCCCCTCCACAGCCACCTCACAGGAACACGGTGAGGATCAATCCTGCTCCCCACCCTTTCTTCCTCAAATGGGGCAGCCCTGCCCTTTGAGATCTACAAAAGCCTCCTCACATGCTTTGGTGGGCCTCAGCCAAAAGGCTCTGAGCATGAGGCCTCCCCAGACCACTTTCCACACCCCGATTTTTGCCCCATTTCCCAATCCCTTTCCTGCATGCCCCAGACTTCTAATGACATGCCTAGGAGGGAGAGGGAGAGGGGCAGATTCCAGGCCACCCAGGAGGGCAATACCTGGGCAAATCCCACAAAGAAGAGCTGGTGGTTGGTGAGTCCTACGGCTGGCAGCTGCTGCTCCTCTCCATGCTTTCTCAGCCATGCTTTATAAGCCTGGGGTTGGGTACAGGAGCAGCAATTCTGTCAGAGCGTGCCTACCACCTCCACCCAACACCCTCCCCACCTCAGGGCGGGCCTCAGCCACTAGAAGGCGGGCCAGGTTACTTACATTGTAGGCAGCCTTAAGGCCCCCATTGTCAGCAATGTTCTCCCCCAGCGTCTGGCGGCCATTGAGCTTCTCCCCATTGACCTGGTACTGGCTGTACTGCTCCTCCATGCAGGCCGTGTGATTCTGGAAGGCTGCCAGTGACTCATTCTGCCACCATGGCCGCAGGTTCCCTTCTTTGTCATACTCACGCCCTGAGGAAAATGAACCTTCGCACTCCACCAAAACCAGAGCTCAACCCTTGGGGTCAGAAGCTCCCCCATCCACCCTAATCCACAGACTCCGGGGTCCCTGGGGACTGCTCTCAATATCTTAAGGCTTTGCAGAAGCCACTGGGAATTATAGGCTGTGGAGAGGACAACTCCATAGGCCTCTACCTTGGTCATCAAAGGCATGTGTCAACTCATGGCCCATCACCACGCCAATGCCACCAAAATTCAGAGCCCTGGTAGGTGAGGAATGCTGAGTGAGGACATGGTGAGGGGGACTTCTGGATCCCACCTCCAGCCCTGCTCCCAGCCCACCAAGTTCCCAGCACCCAGTCCCTCCTGCCTCAGACACACTTGGGGTGGTTGCGGGCATAGAAAGGGGCCTGCAGGATGCCGGCAGGGAAGACAATTTCATTCTTGGTTGGAAGGTAGTAGGCATTCACCGTCTGCGGGGTCATGCTCCACCTGGGGATGGGAGAGGGAGAGAGAGAGGCTGCGGCTCTTGACTTTCCTGCAGCTCCTCCCAGGCCAGTAGCCCTGACCTACCTCCTACAAGGACCCATGTCTCTGGTTTGGGATCAGTCTTGCCCCCAGCCCCAACCCTGGAAATCTCCCCTGCCTCTCTTGCTGCCCCAAGTATCTGCAGCCCTCTATTCTCACTGGTCCCGGCTGGGAGGCTTTCGGAGCTGGTCAGCCATCACTTTAGCAGAGAAGTTGTACAAATTCAACATGTTCTGGAAGAAGGAATCTTCGGAGACTTCATACTATGGAAATGGTGGGAAGTAAGCAAGAGAACATGTTGAAGAAGATAATAGGCCCAGCTGGGCTAATGATTACCACTGAGCCTCAGCTTCCTCAACTGAAAAGTGGGAGTAAAATATCTAGTAAATAATAATCCTCAATACTTAAAGAGTACTTATGAAGCAGGTGCTTTTTTTTTTTTTACACATTGCCTCCTTTTATTCTCACAACAACACTAATAGGATCCCCATTTTACAGATGAGGAAACTGAGGCCCAGAGAGGTTATATAATTTGTCCAAGATTACATAGTTAGGTAGGGGTAGAAACAGGATTTGACGAGGGTTTGACTACAAATCCCTACTGGTTAACACTGCATTGTACTAATGTCAGGCCTTCAGCCTGGCACAGAGCCAGCACTTGAGTACTGTCAGTTGCTTGCATTGCCTCTGAAAACAACAACAACAAGAACTTCCTTCTCTCCTAGTGCTTGAGCCCCTATTACTGAGCCCAGAAAATAGTGCACTCCCATAGGGCTAAAGTTCAAAAGTTGTGAGCAGAGGTACTCACCCCATCATAAACATCATCCAACTCTTTAGGCTCCAGGATGAAGTCTGGGAAACCAATCATATCATAGATGGTATCTGCCTGAGGAGAACATGGTTAAGAGTTTCCCTCCCTAGGCTCTCCCAAAATTGTATCCTCCATCCCCACCTCAAGATGGCGCCCCAACCCTGGCTACAGCTCACTTTCTCTTTGGCTGCCTGGCGAGTCTTCTCATCCATCCAAACCAGCTTTTCCAGGGCCTCCTCAAAGGCAGTCCGGATCTCACTGATCATCCCCTCTGCCTGGGAGGGAAGAAGCACAAGTCTGCCTCCCACTCACACTAATGAATCCTTTCTCCCTGTCC